TGTAGCTGGTAACGAGCGACATGACCCACCCGCAGGGAAGGGCATATCAGGTCAACTAACAAAGCCGGTTGGGAGGGACAGTAGACTGTGAAGCAGGCGGAAATGGAAACAGCCGATGAAGGAATTGTCGATTGCGGTAAGTCTGCGTAAAAGGGAGCGGTACTGCGGGAAATGATATCGGCACGACGTAGATTACAGGCCTTCGGAAGGGGGGAAGGGGAAAGGCGTGGGCTAGGCGGTAGAGGTGTATGTAAATACGGCAGTGGTCTAAGAGCCGAATGCCTGTGGTAGCAGCTACCCCAAAGTGACAGACGTATGTTTGGACGGCGTAGGCTGTAAGCCTTTTAGTTTCGGGGGGGGAGGGGTGGGTGTTGCAGAATATGCGGAGAGAAGGCCGGCAGGGTCAGGTGTACGCCCGGAAGTTGAAGGCGGGCTGGAAACGGTAGTGGACAGCTAGCGTAAGTGGTAGTCCTAATGACGAAATGGGAATGCTGGCAACTCAGTTAGGTGGACTCCGGAATGCGTAGGAGGAGAGGCAAGTGGACCATGATTGGAAACCGAGAGATGATGACGGGAAACACTACGTAAACCGAGAAACCGTCAAACGGGCAGTTAACAGCGCAACTGCAACTCATGGGGAACTGCCCAGAGGTGGTTTGGAGTAAGAGAAGTTTGTGTGCGTAAATGCATAGAAGTTGCATTGTATGTTGGACATAAATTTTAGGCAACAGGGAATGGGAACTCCACGTAAACCCTACGGAGGCGGGTTGCTAGGTGTGTTTGAATGTTTCCTTCTAGCCATGGAGGCCACAGGTCTTCCATTACGGCTACCTTACGTACTATTGTTTGTTCAGTAGGTGTGCTTGTGGTATTTTTTTTGCCGCGGCGGCAAAAAAAATACCACAAGCACACCTACTGAACAAACAATAGTACGTAAGGTAGCCGTAATGGAAGACCTGTGGCCGCTTATTTGGCACCGGTCTTGATATTATTGCTTTGTGGTCACTTTCAAAGGTTGCGCAGTCGTAGTGCATATAGAGGGGCCAGATATCGTTGGTGAAAATAACGTCTAGTATATTGTTTCCTCGGGTGGGTTTGTCAACTATCTGTGTCCAGTTATTAAAGATAATTGAAGACAAGAATTCTTCGTGCCTGGTAGGTGCTGATAAGTCGACCCAGTCTATTTCTGGGCGGTTTAGGTCGCCTCTAATTATCTTATATTCAGTTTTTATGTTAGCTATATTGCTTATTAAGAGGTTGAGGCTTGTGTCATCACTACTACATTCTGGAGGGGAGTAGAGGCATCCGACTAGTATGTTTTCCTGGGCATGAGATTTTATTGTGGCAAAACACGCTTCTCCGGAAAAGGTTTCGGTTGGGACATCAATACCACTTTGCTCAATGGTAGTTTTGATGTAGATAAGACAACCTCCGCCTCGTTTATTAACACGGTCCTGTCGATAGAAATTATAATTTGGGACATATAGTGAAGCATTCGATATAGGCTCATTTGCCCATGTTTCTGTAATGCAAATTACATCGGGGTTATATATTTCAACAAAAGTTCTAAGTTGGGATATTTTGTTGACAATCGCTAGCTGACATCTCTGCTTATAAGAAGTGCCGGGAGCGACTTGAGAGAAGAGTTTCCGGTTTAAAATCCTCTGAACATTTTCGGTTTTATTACGGTCGCAGGCGTGTATTAAACCAAAGAAAGGACAGCAGTATTCGAGGACTGGAATAACAAACATTTGATAAAGTCTTAGTTTCATTTCCAGAAGGAAAAAATTATGCGATATGAATGCACATATCTGCGCGGCTTTGACAAAGATTCTACCTGCATGAGGTGATAAAGCGAGCTTATGTGTATAACTGAGACTTAGGTCCTTTATGGTGAGGCTTTCTGAGAGTGGGTTATTATGAAAAATTATGGGACCAGGAAGTTTGGCAGGACCAAAAGACATGAAACTACACTTGGATGATGAAAACTCCATCTGCCATATTGAACCCCATCTGCTTAGGCGTAGTAAATAGGCATTAATTTTTTCAGCAAAAACGATTGCGGCGTCCTTAGAATATGAGTAAACACACTTGAGGTCATCAAAATAAGTAAAAGTTTGCGAATTTCCGAGTTCAGTCGAAATATCCTTGATGTACAGAAGGAGGAGTAGCGGACCCAGAACCTTACCTTGAATTACGCCAGTCGTGATCGAGTGAGGTGTCGAGTAGCTATTACCCACCATAACTTTCTGATATCGGTTGGACGGATAAGACCTGATGAAGTCGAGTAGAGGCGGCCGGATGCCGAGATCTTCAAATTTTACTAAAAGACGTCTATGGGGTACCTTATAAAGGGCTTTGCTAAGATCAAAGTAGATAACTACCACTGACTGCCGCTCATTACGAAGAGAAGTGATTAGATTACGAAAAGCCAAGTGGCATGTTTCGCAGGATCGTTCAGGTAAAAATCCATGCTGACTAGAGCGCAGAACCCGAGTAGCTAGACAGAAGTCAAGAATTTCATTAAAAATAAACTTTTCAAGAAGCTTTGCTAGAGCCGGTGTTTTGTGCACACCCTGGTAGTTATTATCATCGGACCGAGATCCAGGCTTGAAGACAAGAATAATAATTGACGTTCTCCATGTTTAAGGAAGGAATTCTTTTGAACTATAAACCGAGGATAAATGGCTAAGCAAGATGGGAAGGTAGAATGCTTGTTTAATTATCGAATTTGGAATCCCGTCCGTGCCTGAGCAATGTGAGTGTTTCAAATGACGTATGCTTTGTTTCAATAGAAATCGTACTCGTAATCCTCTATGACAGTAATTGGACTTAGTGCACTTACTACCTCTGAACGCTTATTCTTAGGTCACAGAATAGGCACTTAGAGTCACAGGAACTTGATTGTGGTAAAAATAATTTTTGCCGACGACGTCAGGCTCTGGCAGGTCATTAAGAAACCGAATGACCAAAATGTTTGTACATAGTTCCACTGAAGTTAAAGTAGGTCTTCAACCAGCGTTTCATGAGATCCACAAGGTGTTTCATCTTAGGTTTTTTGCCCGTCTCGTTATAATGTTCACTTAATAGGGTTTGGATGTTATTAACCGTACGATGTTGTGGAATGGAAGTGAAAAGTGAGGTCACATCGAACAAGCAAACTTCTCAAGAACTCTTGATGAACCGCTGCCAAAAGATCTTCACCGTAGTAGGTCTCCCAGTGCAAGGCGCATCCACGATGCACGTGAATCTAAACTGAAGCGTAAAGCGATAGGAATAACTACATTTAAATATCGAGGCAGTTCTAGATGATGAAACTGCCTACATTCATTTTGAAAGTGACACGACGCAGACACTATTAGGCAAAATCAGCAAGGACCTGGAAAGCCGTCGGAAGTCAAAAGCAGACACACAGTTTGGTTGACAATAGACGACATCAAAAGATTCAGCTGTCACGAGATTATATGGTCTACCTAACGTGTCGAAACCAGGAACTCTGCTACGACGGATCTCTTCGCAAAGAGGTACATCAACGTTTGGCCTGGCCGAGTGGTTGCTCAAGCGTCTGAAATCTCTACCTCAGGGTTCTGAGACAGCAATCCACTCAGCTGAAAGATCCACTGAAAAGCTGCAATGTATTGGGCTATCAGATGACAAAGAGATGGCATCTTCCGACGTGATATCACTTTTCACTTCCATCCCACAACATCGTACGATTAATAACATCCAAACCCTATTAAGTGAACACTGTAACGAGACGGGCAAAAAACCTAAGGTGAAAGACCTTGTGGATCTCCTGAAACGCTACTTGAAGACCTGCTTTACCTTCAATGGAACTCTGTACAAACAAGTTAAATATACGCCGATGGTGTCGTTGTTATCCAGCTTGATTGCTGAGGCCATGTTACAGCGACTGGTGGCAGTAGCTCTTGATCACTATCGACCACGATTGTGAATACGGTATTTTGAGGACACATTTGTCCTCATCAGTCGGGATGGGATTGAGGAATTCGAGCAACATCTGAATTGTCTGCCATCCTTTGCCTCCGCAGATCGGGTATTTATTCACTCAGGAATGGGCGCACATCGATCCGTCGGCCTCTAGAAGTTATACGAAGCTTGGTTGCTTCAGGAATCTAATGGATCAGTGTGTGCCCATTTCTGAGTGAATAAATACCCGATCTACAGCGACATAGAGCGGCTGATGGTGAGCACTGATGAACTTCGTTTCGATGAAGTACTTATGACCCATCTGGTTGACCCCAATGGAGGACCAGCTGCGCCAGGTGTGTCTGCGCGAATGTTTGTGTTTCCGGTCACAACAGGTGGTCTGGGTTATGATTGGCGGAATTAAGGCAAACAAGCCCGAAACAGGTCTGTATCAATCTACCCCTCAGATTCTGTCGTCTTCCCCATGCTATCATAGCTTGGCCGGCTTCCGCCTGGTAGTTGGTTGCCTTTTCGTGACCCCTATCATCTATACGAAGTCTGTTTTCTTCGTGAAGCCAACTAGTCGGTGTGCACCCATGGGGGTGTAGGGGTGTCCAGTTGTGGGTTCACTTGATGGTCGTAGTGGTCACTTAGTTGCCCGCAGGTGAGACTACGCCTAGCGTCCATTTGCTGGTACCCAACTCTTACCTGTGGCTCCACGTAGCTGGGCTTTGCTCAGCGGCCACACCCCGGGCAACCGCCTCGACCGGCGGGCTAAACCAGATGAGGGCGCTGAGCTCTTGTGCCGCGTGCACAGTGTACTGCGGACTCCGCTGAATGGATGGTCGGATGAAACACTGTGTCGGCACCGTCAACTGCTGCCGGGACGGGTCTCCGCACCGCCTTCGATGAGACGCGCCCACCCTCGTCAACGGAGAACGCGGAATCACGGCATATGCGGTCGTTCTCCACTACAAACATAATAGTCGCGGCCCCAGAGTGGGATTCGATCGCGCCAACCAGGCACATGGGCAGCCCTATTCAGGGGCGGCACTGCCTGCCCCCTCGAGGGGAAGGGCCTAGAAAAGGTGGCCTAAAAAAATGCTGGGTACCACGCCGTCTCCAGGCTAGCCAGGGCGGCAGACGTCTAATCATGGTCAAAACAATCAAAATCGAAACAACAACAATACCAATAACAAGAACAACCTTACTCATTCTCCTCATCCTACCTCTTCTTTCTCTTCCTCTGCCTATTCTTCTGCCTACTCTTCTCCTTCGCTATTTTCTTCTCCACCTCCTTCCCGTCGCCCCACTCGTTGTCACCAGACTGGCAGGGTGAGTCCGCTAAATCTGGCAGCCTGGAATGTTCGTTCCCTTTAAGACAATCAGAGGAGCAACCGACAGGAACGGAAGACGGCGCTAGTGGCACGAGAACTGGCGCGCTACAAGGTGGACATCGCCGCACTCAGCGTGACCCGATTCTCCGAGTAGGGCCAACTGGAGGAGGTGGGTGCCGGTTACACCTTCTTCTGGAGTGGTCGACCCAAGGCAGAGCGACGAGACGCGGGAGTCGCCTTCGCCATCCGGAACGACATCGTGGGACGACTGCCCTGTTTGCCGCAGGGCATCAACGATCGCCTGATGAGCCTCCGTCTGCCTCTCCGGGGTGGAGGCAAATTCGCCACCATCATCAGCGCCTACGCTCCGCCGATGAGCAGTCCCGACGCCGCCACAAGAGATAAATTCTACGAGGACCTGCACGCCCTCTTGGCGAATGTGCCGAAGGCGGACAAGTTGATTGACCTTGGCGACTTCAACGCCCGCGTCGGCACAAACCATACTGCCTGGAGAGGAGTGCTGGGTCCTCATGGTCTCCGCGGCTCCAACGACAACGGCCTTTTGCTTCTCCGCACCTGCGCAGAACACCGCCTCATCCTGACGAACACCTTCTTCTGTCTGCCGGAGCGAGAGAAGGCCACCTGGAGGCATCCTCGGTCGCGCCAGTGGCACCTGCTGGACTATGTCCTCGTCCGGAGGCGAGATCAGCGGGACGTGCTGGTGACGAAGGCGATCGCGGGTGCTGACGGGTGGAGCGACCATCGCCTCGTCATCTCGAAGATGCATATTCGCCTACAGCCTAGCAGGAGACCACAAGGTAAGCTACCCCCAGGTAAGCTGAATGTTGCCTTGTTGTCTTTGTCCGCTCGCCAACTTCATTCCAGCAATGAGCTAGCTCAAAGGCTAGACAACCTTCCTACCGCTGCCGACGGCGCCGCTGCCGAGGACGCCTCCGTGGAGAAACGCCGGTGTCAACTGCGAGACACGGTCCAGTCGACGGCACTCGCCGTCCTCGGTCGCGCTCCCCGCCAACACCAGGACTGGTTCGACGACAACGACGTCGCCATTAGAAATCTGCTTGCTGTGAAGAACCGCCTACACAAAGCCTACGCAGATCACCCCAATGAGGACAACAAAGCTGCCTCCTACCGCAGTCGCCGCCAACTTCAGCAAAGACTGCGCGAGATGCAGGACGCCTGGACTGCTCGCAAAGCCAAGGAGATCCAAGGGCACGCGAACCGCAACGAATGGAAGAACTTCCTCTCTGCGACCAAAGCTGTCTAGGGTACGCCGACGAAGGGCACTGCCCATCTCCTCAGCGCCGACTGCAGTACTCTCCTGACTGAGAAGACGCAAATCCTGCAGCGATGGGCCGAGCATTTTCGAGGCGTCCTCAACCGCCCCTCCGTCATCTCCGACGCCGCCATCGCCCGCTTGCCGCAAGTGGAGACCAACGCGGACCTCGACCTCCCGCCATCTCTCCGGGAGACCATCAGGGCCGTGCAGCAGCTCTCTAGCGGGAAAGCACCCGGATCGGACGCAATCCCTGCTGAGGTCTACAAGCACGGAGGTCCCCAAATGATGGATCACCTGACTGCGCTCTTCCAGGAGATGTGGCGTCAAGGTGAAGTCCCGCAATATTTCATGGACGCAACCATCGTGCATCTGTTCAAGCGCAAAGGGAATCGCCAAGTCTGCGACAATCACCGAGGCATCTCCTTGCTGAACAACGCCGGGAAGATCTTCGCACGAATCCTCCTCAACCGTCTCAATAATCACCTGGAACAGGACCTTCTGCCGGAAAGCCAATGCGGCTTCCGTCGTCATCGTGGGACCACGTATACGATCTTCGCAGCACGTCAACTTCAGGAGGAGTGTCAGGAGATGCGGACCCACCTGTACTCTACCTTCGTGGACCTGACGAAAGCCTTCGACACGGTGAACCGTGAAGGACTGTGGAAGATCATGCAGAAATTCGGCTGTCCGGAGCGATTCACTCAGATGGTGCGTCAGCTGCACGACGGTATGATGGCGCGAGTCACGGACAACGGAGCTGTCTCAGAGGCATTCGCAGTGACCAACGGAGTGAAGCAGGGCTGCGTACTGACGCCTACCCTCTTCAGTCTTATGTTCACTGTCATGCTGATGGACGCCTACCGCGACGAACGCCCCGGGATCCGCATCGCCTACAGGACAGACGGTCACCTGCTGAATCAACGACGGATGCACTTCCAATCGCGCGTATCCACAACCACCGTTCACGAACTCCTCTTCGCCGACGACTGCGCCCTGAACACCACCTCGGAAGAGGAGATGCAACGCAGCATGGACCTGTTCTCCGCCGCCTGCGAGAACTTTGGTCTGGTCAATAACACGCAGAAGTTGGTGGTGATGCACCAACCGCCACCCAACTCAGCCACAGCCCTTAACGCGCCGCCGCAAATCATCGTGAACGGAACCAAACTGCAAGTGGTGGCAGTACTCTCTCCCGCAACACCAAGATCGAGGACGAAGTCGCCAACAGGATCTCGAAAGCCAGTCAAGCCTTCGGTCGCCCCCAAAGCACAGTTTGGAATCGCCATGGTCTTCAACTAAGCACGAAGCTGAAAATGTACAAGGCCGTCATCCTGCCGACGCTACTGTATGGAGCGGAGACTTGGACGGTGTACACAAAGCAGGCACGCCGTCTGAACCACTTCCACCTCAGTTGTCTTCGTCGCATCCTGAGGCTGAACTGGCAAGACCGAATTCTCGACACTGATATGCTTGGACGGACGGGAATCCTCAGCATCTACACCATGCTGAGACAAATGCAGCTGCGTTGGAGCGGCCACCTGGTGCGCATGGACGACGAGCGACTACCCAAACGACTCTTCTACGGACACGTCGTGACGGGTTCTCGCCGCTAAGGAGGCCAAATTCGCCGATACAAGAACACTCTGAAGTTCTCCCTGAAGCGGCTGCAAATCAACCCGACCAACTGGGAGGAGCTCGCACACGATCGACCAACCTGGAGAAGGGCAGTGATGACAGACGATGGGATCTACGAAGCCAATCGCATCGCTGCCGCCAAGGCGAAACGCGAAGCCCGCAAATCCCAACTTCGCCCAGTACGCAACGCCGCCGCACAACCGCTTCCAACGTGTCCTCGATGTCAACGGACATTCTGGGCTCGAATCTGACTTGTTGGACACCTTCGGATCAACTGCACCTCTCGAACTGCTCCAGCCATCGTCCCCCCGCCCGCCTCTTCTTCCCCTCCGCCGCCAACTAACTCTGACAATTCTTCTGAACCACCATTCCCACCCTCCTCCTCCTCCTTCTCCGCCTCCTCCTTCTCCTCCTCCTCCTCCTCCTCCTCCTCCTCCACTGCTTCCACGACGGCCGCTCAGGCGACTGTCCCGCGCGCAACAACCGACACCATCACCACCTTCCCCGCCTCCAGCAATGAGAATCAGGACTACACCTGCCCTCACTGCGACCGCACCTTCACCCCACGCATCGGCCTGGTCGGTCACTTGCGAATCCATCGCACAGAGCCTGGCCAACCAGTGCCTAGAGCACCAACCTATAGCCATCAAGTTCGTCTCAACTGCCCACACTGCCCTCGCACTTTCAGACACCGCATGGGCCTTTTCGGCCACATGCGCATCCACGACGACCTGCGGTAGACAACCGCCGGTCACACCACACATCCACACAACCCCTACCTTCCTCAAGCATCACCACCACACATCAACACGCACACATCGCAAGCACCCAACTGCCACCACCCACGCAAGTGGTAAGTGTGCATCTCGCCTCGGTCCTCATGCGGCTTCGGCTGCAGGGGTGACTTGAGTCCAAGACTATCCCAACACGTCAAGCGTCGTGGATATGAAGGTTGCTGATTGACGCCCTTTCTCGGTTCACGCAGTTCGTCGCGCAGTTCGTGTGTGTTGTGTGTAGTGGCGGACTGGTGGGCTGGGGGCGGGCTGAAACAGCCCCTTCCACGGCCCTCTCACGCAAGTGAGAGACAAGCCGCTCAATCACCGTTGTGTGAAATCCTGGTGTTTGTGTGTATGGGGGGCCAGGTCGTGCTCTGGCGCGCGCAGCCATGGTCAGTCGACCATGACAGCCACCGCGCCCATTTCCCACTCCAGTTTGCTGACCGGCTCGGACAGCGGCTGGGGTGTGGGGATGGAAAGGGAGAGTGAGGTCGACGACTCAGCGCATTTTCTCACTATTAACAATCTGACGCGCTTGAAGCTATCACGATGCGCTAAAAGCCGTGGCTTGGAAGGTTGTCAACTGACGGGGTACCTTGGACCACCTCCTTCATTGGAGGCGGTCTGGGAGTCAGGCTGCAATGGCTCCTTTTTAATGTGGCCTTTATGGCATTCCCACCACATCTTGGGATCCGAACCAGGCGTTGGCGGCACGTCCAGGTGCGGCTTCGGCCGTGCCAGCCTTCAAATCTCTCTTGGTTGAAATCCTGGTTATTTGTTGTGTGAACCAGGGGCTGTGGTGGAACGCCAAGGTGAGGATCCGTCCGAGCCATCCACCTGCGGCCTCCCTCGTCTTCGGTCTTCTTGACTCGGTCTTGACACCGGGCCTAAGTCTACTGGCAATATAAACCCCTGCGCAAGTCAACGTTCCTGTTCCCACCGCTGCTGCAGCTGAGGGGCACACGGTGGACATCATCGAAATCTATGGTCGAACTGTCGGTGCACCCATTCCTGAACGAATATATATATATATATATATATATATGGATATAGGCGAAAATGCCGACCCCAGGTATTGAGATGGAAGAAGGTAAAGAGATCTCTGGGGAGGATGATTTATTCATCTGACGTTTCACACTCATACTTGAGCGCATCATCGGAGATAGATTAAACGTGGGAATACAAGGTTTAAATAGGTCTTTCTTACTCATTACTGATAGGT